CTTTTTTAAACAATTACTAGAGCCGCTAAACAATGGAAGTTGAACAAATCCTATGCCTATCATACCTAGAAGTTCAGAAAGGCACAACTGCACAAGTTGAAACAACCTAACGTACAAAAAAAGACAACAATTCAGGTATGACACACTGTTCAATGTTCATTGTGTAGAGAGATCTCACTTCGATCACACAGTTTGTAACAGTCACAACAATAGATGCCAACCGATGACCTTAGTTTCAAACTAAAACAAACTATAAATCCTTTTTAACTATCCCATATGCCTTGTACTCCTGCCTCCTGAGACCAGCCACCTAACTATCATCACACAGTTTCGTAACGATTCATCCTTCTCACATAGTCCCTGGGGAGCATAAGGCACCATAATTAAAAGCTACCATTTCTACTAGTATCACCCAGCAAAAGAAATCAACTCATCCCAAACTCTAAAAATTAAAAGATAAAAAAACAGATATCGGTTAGACATGCTAAGAAATTGAAAGAATTAACATATATAATTCACAGCCCATTGGTTATGAAGTACAAAGCCAGCATCCAAATAGAAGCAATCCAAGGTTGTCAAATGCTGCAGTCTAATGACCACTAGCCTACATGCCTACATACCCAAATATCAAAACCACAGTTTACCAYGATATTTAAAATTACTTACGCATACATTCATGCTATTCATATATGTAGATTTCATTGAGACTTAATACATAACTCCCATTTCTTATCACCAACTAACTCATCTCTTACCATACAAGATGAACATCAAGAAACAGTCCCCGTAATATAAGGAAAAACCTTTGACAAAAGTAGGATAGGGGACATCATTTGTTAGGATAGGGGACATCTCTTACCATAATATGCACAATATGACCTTAGAATTTAATGTCCAGATATTCAACCAGCTTGATAATGTTTAAAAATTCTACAATTATTTGACAAATGATCAAAAAACCTAAAACATATGAGGCACTACTTTCAATTAATGATGGAACAGAAATTATAAAATATAAATTAATCTACCTAAAGAACAAAGAATCCCAAAAACTAAAAACATTCTAAGGCCCAGTTCGGAAAGAGTACAAATGCCAACATGACCAGTACAAATACAACATTTTGAAATACAATAAACAAGGTTTAACACTGTGCATATTTTATATTCATACTCTTACCAAACTAAACTTATCACTGAGCTTGGAGGAACTGCAAATAAAAATATGCACAGTGCAAAATCTTGAATTTTGTATTTCTAAACCTGCGTTATCACCATACTTTTCGAATTTGTATTCCCAAACAGAGCCCAAGGTACATTTTTTACTGTTCACTGCTAATAGAACAAAAAATGTAGAATCCAATTTGGAAATCTAATACAGGTAACCAAAATACTACCACCTAGGAAAAGACTATTTAGACAATCAAATACAAGGTCAATGATTTGAAATAAGCAGAACAAATATACAGCATAAGTTGCCACCGAAGAACTTTGGCCTTACAATAGCATGCTTCACTCGATGAAATGAACAATAACCATAGAGATAATATGTAATAATAGATCTAACCAAAGAACTAACCATACAAACATCCTTACTGGTGAACCCAACCCAAGGTTCAAATTATCGACATGTATCGGCCCATATCAGCCGATTGGTATCGTTCCGGAACCCCTCCGATACACCTGTACAGTGGGTGTTTCGGGGGTCAGACCGATTCAGGGTGTGGAGGAGGCCTAAAACAGCTCCCCTGAACCAGTTGCGAAAAAAAAATTAAAAAAAAAAGCACTAAAAAGCTGTATCAATTCACCCGATACGCCCATACCTTGACCCAACCCACCCTTCAAGGACATAATTTGTCTAATTTGGCATCATCTACTGTAATACTGTGGACATTTCATGAACTAAGACCCTGATTATCAAATAAAAGCTCTAATGACCAAAGACAACCAAAAAGCTAATACTATCTTCTCATTTTTTATCAACAATCTAGAAGCTTCTAATATGACAACAACCGAGGCAACTAAAAATATACAAGATCATAAACTGGATAATAACAACTGCTAAAAGAACAGATGCCAATAGAAATGGAAAATAGGCATCCCCTCTATCATAGCTAGGACACACGGTAAGGCTGCCTATCAAATGGATAAACTGTAAACACCAAGCCACTGCTCATGCTTCTTCAGCCCCTTTAAAATATGCATTTATTTTTTAATTTTTTGGAACAAAATTAGTGAATTCCTATACAACCATACAGCCAATGATCTGCATGAGACAGGTCCCATGCCAAAATACCAATACACTTCCCTATAAATATCATATTCCAATCACTTTCTTAATGAAATTAGAACTAAAATCTCTCTCGCATCACCCAAACAAACATACATCTTGATTTGTTCCTAAAATTTCCACCTTTCAATGACACTTCCTTCTCACACATTCCATTGTTCTTATATGTATAACTTTTTTCCTGTGAAATAGGAAACAAAACGCATCCTCCTCTTTTCAACAGACGGTTGATTAGATGATGGGGAAAGGATGTGAATATCGACCCCAACAATTTTTTTGATAAATATCCCAACAATTTCTCTATTAAAAAACATAATACTAAATAAGATTAGATTCTTATACCAGTAATTTTGCAAATAGAGAAACTTCATAGATACATGCCATCCTCAACACCCACACTAGACCATTCAACTATATAATACATAGGGATTAAAAAACCAATTGGACAACACTTGCTTCATGATGCAACTGTATGATCCTTTAAATTTTCACAGCAAAGAAAAACTCATCTTTTAACTTTTCAAATTATGAAAATGTCATTTCCATTAATTAAGATCCAAGTAGCTGTTTGATATTTTGTTCTGATTAAAGCATCACCAATCYACTACAAGTCATTCATAGGCAAACCTACATAACCTCCATTATATCAATATGGAGTAATTAATAAACTCCAACAATAATGCATGCAACTACTAGAAAGTACAGATTAAAGGCATTAAAAGCTTTACCTTGCAAAAATAAGGGCAACTGCACAGTGACATGGATTTTCAAGATAACCAAAAAATAAATTCCTAATTTGTAAAGAATAAAATAATATTATCACACTAGATTGCAAAATACACTACAATAATCGTATAGGTTGACCATTTTATGTTGTAAACTTGCCTAACATCTCGTATTAATGAAATCACACTATTGTCAAAAAAGCATTTTTACCAGTAGGCAAACTGATTAAAAGTCCACTAGATGATGATWTACTCATTAGATATTATATTAGTTGAACATAATGTACTGATTCTAGCAGCTAAGTGCTTTGAAATATAACCATTATATTGAGGGCATCTATCATATCCGGTTTCAAGTGCTTTTGAGATACAAAACCTTGGAAGTGGTTATATGCAACTGGAATGATCAACCATTATATCTGTTCAATAATCTTTGTTATCTTGATTAGAGCAATAAATGGTGTGAACCTGTATCACAACTTTGGATGACCAATTCATTAGCCTTGATAACATTGTCCTTAAATTGCAAGATAATGGTCAAAGCAAATTATTATTAAAAGTTATAAACATTTGTAATAGAGAAAATTGCATTATAACATTTATCTTAGGCAAGTTAAGATTTGAACCTGAAAAACTTGGTGCAAGGCTTCGATTTGCTTCCTATACCAGGTGTAAATGACTCCGTTTCTGTTGCAGAACATTAAATACTTTTTCTCAGTTAAAATTCCAGTGAGTTCTTAATCTGGGAACTCCAAGAATATCCAAGACTTGCATTAACATTAATTAACATCATTAGAAAAAGTGATCCTCAAAAAAGAAGAACCATTACTCCCAGTTAAGAAATGTATTACCACGATTAAAGTGACAAGTTCAAATTATGATTGATGCCATGTAAATATGGTATGAATCACCGATTCCTCACACCATACAAACATGTAAATATGTAAAGATAAAGGGCAATGATGTGAATTTCATTCTTCATAGTTCATTTTTTTGGGTGGAATTTTAACAAATTCATTCCCAAAAACTTCGTGTCTGAAGCCCGGAAATCCATGTACACTAATACAACCGAATGATGGAATCCCTATCTCCATACACTGAATAAATGAGAATCATCCCAAACCTACATTAGGAATACAGTTTTTTAAAACGAAATTGTTTATTTAAAATAAACAATTCCGGGCTTCGTGTCTGAAGCCCGGAAGCCCATATACACTAACTAACACAACCGAATGATGGAACCCCTATCTCCATACACTGAATAAATGAGAATCATTCCTAACATACATTAGGAATACAGTTTTTTAGAACGAAATTGTTTATTTAAAATAGGGAATCACCCGTGTCCAAAGTCCAAATTTTTACATGCAATTAAATGCCACAAGTTGCACTTAACCAATTTTGAGGTTCAGGGTATCTAACAAATAGGAGGAACCTCAAGAATGCAAAACTAAGTTGACATGCGTACAAAAAATAAAATGAGAAGCTGCAACAAACAAGCAGCACGGATCACGGGACACAAGAAGAAAGAATCAAAATCAACAAGAAATAAAAAGTTGCAAGTCATACTAAAGCCACGAACAAGTTCCCCTAAACACAGACTCGTATGCTTCTAAACTTTTCTTTTCAAAAAGTACTCAAACTGTCAAGGGAACTAAACCCCAACGAATCAAGAGCAGAGGCGAAGCACTACAAGCAGTGGCTTCAACATGAAGCACTCCCTACCACCCCCCCCCCCAAAAAAAAAATAAATAAAGGAACAGAAAAAAAAAAAGAGAGGGCCCAACACATAGTCTAGACCACTGCACCAGAGAAGGAATGGCAAGACGGAAAAGGCCAAAGATCGCAGAGCAAAAAATACAGAGACCGTAAAACCCTAAACTCACTAAATAGTGAAAACAATGAAGAAAGCAAAAAACAAACCTTGCTTGGAACGCTTCAGCCCTCCATTCCCATTCAAAGCAGGGTCACCCCTCCCCCTCTTGCGCGCAGCTCCAAAATCCATACCAACAAACTCAGATCGAGATCTAGCCAAATAGCTGGAACGAGAAAATCAGAATGAAAGAAAGAAAGATAAGAAATAAGTGAAGGAAATCCCCTAAAACCCTATGAAGGCAAAAACCCCAAGGAAAAAAGGGCGGAAAATATAAGCGTTAAGCTAAGAGAGTGCAAAACCCTAGGGCTTCCACGAGCAGAAACCAAAGGGCGGGGTTTCTAAAGAGAAACATGAAGAGGCAAAAAGAAGATATTAATAACCACGTGAGTGAGAGAGAGAGAGAGAGAATGAGGCAGAGGGAGAGGGAGAGGGAGAGGGAGAGGGAGAAATAAATAAAATAAATAGTATTTCAAATTTAGGGTTTAGATTGGACTTGTTGTATGAGTTGGATCCCGCCCCGCGCACAGTGACGGATGATTGGGTTGTCACGCGGGGCAGGTGATTTGCTTCACGTCACCCAAAATCTTTGTTGTATACTTGCATTCAACGTACTGGGCCCGGTCTTTTGTGGGCCTATGGGCCTGTATTTGGGCCTTCAAAAAATGAACAAGAACAATAATAATGTTTATTTTTTGCAATAATAATGTATGGAGCAGACGACCGGGATGGGCCTTTGTTAAGGTGACGTGGCCTTTTTTCCTACAAGAAAAGATATTCGCACGTGAAATCATTTTTTCGTGCGAAAGCAGCAGGATGGGCTTTCTCTTCAGTCTTAACACGTCTTTCTCCCCTGTTTCCCTCTTCTCTCACTCTCTCGTCCGAGTCCCTCTCCCTCTCTGTATCTCTCGAAATCATGGCGAGAAACCCTAACTCTTTCTCTCTACAAGTTGTGTTACTTTTTCTTTGCAGGGTTTGCAATTAGGGTTTTGATGGTTTTTCACACTACTCTCCCCTGCTTCATCTTCCAAGATCTCAGTTATTGTTTTATTAAGGTTTCTAGTTGGGGTCGTACCCTTTTCTTTGTAGTTATTCTACTTCACCAGTCTCAGTTAGTGTTTTAAGTTTTCTGATCATCGTTCTCTCATGTTTTGGAGGTGGTGGAGGCGGTGGTGACGTCGGGCTTTGGTTGGGTTCTCTATTGATATCTGCAGCAGGAGCTAATAACGCCATCTTCTCACCGGAGAACACCCAACAGGGAAGGAGACGTTTGAATTCAAGCAGAGTTCTAGGAGAAGAAAAGCTGTTCACTTGGTAAAAGATTTGAAATTGCGACTGCTGGAAATGCAACAGCCTCCACGGAAAAAGTCTAGACTGGGATGGATGGTTTCTATTCCAGCTTCTTTGTCCACCCGCAAATTTCATCTCAATCGATCTCTTCTTTGTTATTGAAATTTTTAGCTACTCTGGAATTGAATTTTGAGGGTTTTTTGCGGGTATTTTTTCTTCTTTATTGTCATTGTACAACACACCTTCATTCGAGTAAAGAATGACCGCTAGTGTGAGCTGAGGTTTGAGTCACCTTCGGTTTGTTGGAAAAAGAAAACTAGGAAGACCTTTGTAAGAAGAAGAAGAAGAAGAAGAAGGTAGCGCCGAAGTTCTCGCCACCGATGGTCGATGGCTTTTGAATGGACGGATGCTGGTGTGGTGTGCTCGCTGGTATGTGGGGTAGGGTTTGGTCGAGGAGAAACAGAAAATGGGAGGGGGGTTCAAACCGAGGAATTTTAAATAACTTGTTGTCATTTTGTGTCTGGTTTAACTGCACACTAAGTTAACGGTCGAAGGCCCGTTAAGGTTAGCATGTTTTTGCCCATATGATGTGGTCGTCTCTCATTGGTGGGTTCACGCATCCCGTGAACCCATGGGTTCGTAAAACGCAGAGTCGCCCAATTGTTGTGCTGGATGAACTGTCCTAGCAATGGTGCGGTTGATGTGATGTTGTATTGTTCACTTAAAAGAGTAATGACCATTAATAAAAAAACTATAGATACCATAATTTTGATACTAGGATATCATATCATTATTACATGTCTCTATATTGGATACGGTGTATGATGACTAGTTTAATAAAACTGTATATTACTATGTTTAGATTGTTTTTGAATTCTAATAAAAATTAAAAATTAAAATAAATAATTTAAAATTTAATTTTCCCATCAATTTATTCACCTTAGATGATGTATATTTTTTATTTTATGATTATATGTTAGAAATTAAAATATATTTATTATTTATATAAAATTATTAAATAAATAACATTTTTCGAATTTTTAATAATCGTATTGATACTTTAAGCCTTGCAAAAAACAATTATATGTGTAAAATGAAAACGTATTTATTATTTGAAAAATAGAGTAATTATTTATATAAAAATTCTAAATATATAAAATTTTCAAAAATTTTAACAAAATTTAAAAATTATAATTATAGAAATTGAAATATAATGATAATTATTGTATGATGTGTGCATGTTATACATAGAGTCTCAATATTGTTGATTGTAATGTTTTTTCTTTATATAACTTATTAAACTATGCATTTCTCATGTATTTATACCTTACTCATAGATTATTTAACCTTAGATTCAGTGTTATTAATGCATTTATGTGATTTGTATGCATTTTCCTAAAATATCAAAGCATTTTTATATTTTTCATCTGTATTAATGTGTTTCCAAAGCATATTCATACCTGTATCCAAATTGTCCAATACAATACCCAATACCAATATTTTGATCCTTGGTTATGGTGTTATGATGACTAGCAATTTTTTATCCCCTATGGTGCACCACATCGAAATATGGTTTTTGGATCTATTGCAAATATTCCAAAACAATAAATAAATAAATAAATAAAGGGGATGGAGTTCATTGTATTTGGAAACAAGTACTTGAGGTAAAAAAAATGGAATATGCCAACATGCACTTGATGGTTGAGAGCATTATCTTAAGGTGCATTTGAGATTGCTATATCTGAATGGAAGCTAAGAAAAATACAAATTAAAGCAACATACATGTTTTATGGGCTATTCCTTAAGCCCACCACAAAGAAGTTTTTTTTTTTTTTCGGTAAATAAAGTTCCATTGATAATCAAATCAGAACAGCACCATCCTCCTCTCCTTCCATGCCTTTGTGAAAAAAAAAAGATCGAGAACCACGGATTAGGAGATTTCTTATTGAAAATATGCTCATTTCTACCATTCCAAATGATCCATAGCAGCAAAGCAGTTTGGCTTAACAGATCTTCCTTTCTTGCTTTATTAACAGCACGAGAAAAAAAAAATCCAGCTTTCCAACCATTGATCAAAGCTTTCAATATTTTTTATATGGTCAGTGTTATAATTAAAGGAGGATCCGAACCAAAGTAGCTTTTTGCATGGTCACAAATAAAAAGAGCATGAATTACTGTTTCAGGCCCCCTTCTTGCAATAAGGTTCACTCCAACTGCTATAGCATTCCAAGCACATTTCTACAGAAAGTGTTTTATTTTTGGATCAATATTTAGTTTCCGTATTTCTTTCCACACTTTGGTACTAGGACTCCGAGTTTGGGTTTTGTTGTAGTGACTTGGTTACTTTGATTCATGATTTTTTTTTTCTTTTTTTTTTGCTAGAAAATAGACAGGTTTTACAGAGAACTTCCATGTGGAGACTCTTTCCAAATCAATCCGTCTTCCCACTCCCCAAAAGGCCAGGTTGATGCTTAGCCTTTGATTTGCTACTTCCTCTTGAAATTGTTTCTCACTATTCCAGTCTTCCAAGATCTGGTGTTTGGATCTATTAGGTCCTTGACCCAACAAATTTAATTTGATTGAAGTTTTGGTCCCAAGACCCTGAAGTTTAGACAGTTTTTCAACCAAGGGTCTCCCTAAATCTTGACCTTTGACCCTGAATTTATTTCCCAACAAGTCCCTTATATTTCTTTTCATGCCAAGATGCTCTGCTAACCTTCGTAGAGCGTCTCCAAACTTGGAGACAGGTATTTTTCCCTCTTAAATATTTGGCCTTCATAACTTTAATTAGCCCATAGATTGTTTTCCTTGGTAGAGAATCTCCAAACTTGTTTTGCTAGGAGTGCTAAGTTGAAGCAAAAGGGGTCTCTAAATCCGAGTCCCCCATCATTTTTGTTTATACTTATTGTGTCCTATTTTAGTCAGGCTAATTTTTTTTTCTTTTGTGTAGAATATGGTTTTTAAAACCGGCTTTGTGACCAAACCGGTCAGGGATCTGGTTATCGGGTTGAATGGTCCGACCATTCGAATCGAATGTTTGGCCCATTCTGACAAGAACATAAAAAAATTTTAAAAAATAAAAAACAATCAAAACCGTTCGAATGATTAACCGCCCAATTTAACGGTTTATTGACCAAAATCAACGGTTTTAGGGGAAAATCCAATTTTTAGGGAAAACGGAATTAATCACCTGACCGGTTCCCGATTTTTCTGATCCGACTGTCCAATCTAATCTGGTTTTGAAAACAACCTCACTAAAAACTCCTTTTGGCTTTAGCCATTTCTGAACAGATTTGTTTTGGTATGAGGAAACAAGACATTGGATAAGCAGGAAGGGCTGCAATGACTGATTTTAACATAACCTCTTGTCCAAGAAGTCTGTAATTTGGCAACATACAAAATGCCTCTAACATCAATTCTCACATAGACTTTCTTTTCCTCTTGCTCCTCACATACGTTGTTATTTATTATGATCGAATTTAATTATGAGTATGTACAAAAACTACCCTTATTGTTTGCAACCGATTTACTTAACCAACCTTTTGTATTGCCATCTATAAAGAGTCACATGACCATCTAAATCAAGTAAAAAATGTTTTAAGGGAATAGGCCCATGATTGCTTATTCTAAGAGTACCTCGTGTATTAGAAACATTTCTTGTGAATAATAAATATATGAGATGTTCCCAATGCATGATAGAATGTACATGTGAGGCACCTGTTTGAGGAGCAGATCCGGTCTCAGTGTTCTGTATGCATAAGGTGTGGATCCCATATGTGCCTATGTGTATAAACCTTGTTGTGTTCACTCTTGATAATCTACTTGGGTCTCTTTGTTTCTAAGTTCATCTGGACCCATATGCCCCTGCCGCGCGAAAAAAAGAAAGAAAGAATGAATGAAACCCCCCGGTGGTAGAAGGAGCAAATTAAAAAAAAAATACGAACTGAGCCACCATAAGTTGATCTCTCAGCTTGACTATGAACAATAACTTTATTACCTTTGCATGCACCTGGTAATGGGTAGGAGGGAATTGAAATAACCAAAAGCTAAAGCGTGAAAACCATCCCATCCCAAAGTAGAACTACCTAAGCTTTATTAGTGTTTAAAAGCCATTCGGGCTCAATCTTACCTGTATTC